CCCCGGCCCCGCACCGGCGCCGGCCCCGGCCGAGCACCACCGAGCCCTCCCGATTTTCCCGGACATGCCCGGCTTTTGGGGATTTCCCCCCGGACGGGGATTTGAGCCCCCAAAAGCCGGACATGTCCGGGAAAATCCGGACGTATGGTAACCCTAGTAGATCTCCACCACAGACATAGAGGCCTAGACTCTGGGACTCATGGACATCCATCACCTTGCTGAGTGATGTGTGGGGGAGCATGTGTGCAGGGAGGGGAGGGGGCATCTCCTGTGGAATAGCTGGATGTGGGGGGTAGGCTGAGTACCCTGAGGTGTCTCTGGATGGGGTGATAGGTGTACCCTGGACCGCGGTGTCTCTTCAGCAGAGCTGCTGACTTTTCAGACTGCCTGAGGCTTCCTCCAGCCTTTAGGCTCTTCACACCATTCCCTCCTCCTCCCTTTGCTCTCCCCCCCCCCCCGCGGCTGTTTCCTGCAGCTCTGCGCCTGGTGTGCCATGCACACAGTCTGGCCTGGGAGGGAGCAGAGAGGAGCTGCATTGACTCTACCTTCCCCTTCACTCTGGGACCACAGAGCCATGGTGCAGGCTGTCAGCAGACTCAGGGCTCTGCTCAAGGTGGCTGCACAGCCTGGGACTTGCAACTGCATGGGGGTAGGCCTTGGGGAAGAAAGGATAAGAGCAAAACAGGAAACCTCCCACTCCCTCTCCACTGTGCCGGAAGAAGAGGAAGCTCCTCTGGAGGACTAGAGTGAGGAGAAGGAGGGGATGGCTGAGGAGCTAACCCCTTGAGCCTACCCATGGCCGGGGGGAGGAGGAGCAGTGAAGGGGATGCACCCTTAAGGGGCCATGAAGCATGGAGAAGTAGCCGAGGGCAATTTCTCCTTGTGAATCTTGCCAGGGCCTGAGGTAGGAGCAGCAGAAGACCCAGCACCTAGTACAGGATTCTCTCTTTATGTTGAGATTCTGCAGGGGATTTTCAGTGGGCCCTAAAGTGTTGGTACATGTTGAAAAATCCTGAGTGGCCAATAGCAAAGTGTAACCTACTGGTTCCAGGTGTTTTTTTAGTTCTCCGTTCTGGCTGGTCCTAAGAAAGATGATAAAAGCCTACTAGTGCAAGCGACTAAAGGCAGTGCTACCTTAGTTCGAATAGCTGTGACTCACATTTTGAGTACTGAAGATCTGGGATTCAGTCTCCATTGCTGACCAGTGTGGTGTGGGAGGAGTCATTACCATATCAGAGATTATTGGTTAGTGCAGTTGAGCTACAAAACCGAGGGTTGCTAGTTTAAGACTGTAGAAAGATAATTTAGATTGGCTTTACTTTTAAAATGATTTCCTCACTGAAGAAGCAGTGAAAAATACATCTATGGACCTACATTTCCAAATGTGACTTTTGCATGCCCAGCTGGAATGTGATGGTGTCTGGGATATATCTGGAAACTGGGGCTTCTCGAGTCTATGTGTGGAATGTAGCTGTGTAGTGGTGAGTTGGGGTGTCAAGGACATACTTAGGTATAGTTGTTTCTGTTGCATATTTCTCTGGTATATGTAGGAGATATGAGGTGTGTGTGTGTTTGGGGCATATCTTAGTACTGGGGAATATCTGGGGGGTCTGAAGTGTAGCTGGGACATGCATTTGTGTGCAGTAATACATCTGGTGAGCAAGGTTTTGTCGGTACTGGGGCTAGATCTGTGAGGCCGGGAGTTGGGGAATGGTTGGGTGTATGTGGTGATATAGGGCGGGGCTATGTGTGCTTTTATAGGTTGTGTTACTTTGTATGGTTGTTCCTCATTGGGTGCACATCTCTGGGTTGAGTGCTGTCTGCAGTCTCAGGTGTTTAGTGGGAGACCGGGGAGTGAGCTTGAGGGTTGGCTATCAGGTAAATTTGATTACTCCCTATGTAGCTGCCAGGCTGGCCCAGTGTCAGTATGTGCACTATGCTGATGTGCCAATGTGAGCAGCTAACACTGGGCTTGGGGGTGGGTGCGGCCTTGGTCATAGAGTCTCACTCCAAGGCCCCTCTCAACAGGAGAGTTTTGCTGAAGTTCCTCCTCATGCCTAAGTTACCCTTGATGAGATCTGTGCCCTAGGCTAGGAAGGGGCATCTCATTCCAGTCATTTCCCTTTTGACAGGATGGTCTTTGCTTGGTAGTTGATCTAAGACATTTCCCTCCAGCACGATGTCATCTTTCTCCAGTACAAACGTCTCCTCTTCCTCATCCACTTCTGTAAGTGATAATGAAAGCAAAATAAACCTCTTACTCAGCACCAGCTCCTCCGACCTGCCCTCGAGGCCACAAGCTGAAGATTTCACCAAGGAGCTGACCTGCCCTCTGTGCCTGGAATGGTTTAAGGAGCCAGTGATTTTGCCTTGTGGCCACAACTTCTGCAGACCCTGTATTGAGGAAATCCGGGGCAGGGCGGAGGTCTGCCTGTGCCCAGAGTGCCAAGCACAGTCCCCGGACAGGCAGTACATAGGGAACATAGTGCTGGAAAAACTAGTGGAAAAGATCAAGGGCTTTCATGTAGGGAAATGCCAGCAGAAATGCAGCAAACATGGTGAGCCTCTCAAGCTCTTCTGGAAGATGGATGGGAAACTGGCCTGCTTTCTCTGCAGAGATGCCCAGAAGCCTGAAGATCAAAGCTCCCAATTCCTACTGCTCCCAGACGCTGTGCAGCTCTATGCGGTAAGGCTTAGTCAAAGGCAGGTGTGAAACATTCTCTGCTACTTTAGCACATTTTACAGAGAGTCCTTTCCACTGAAGAGAATGTGGAACATTCGATACATTACAGTGTTGCCAACTCCCACAATGTTATTGAAAGTCTTGCCATATTAGATATTATTCTTAAAGTCCTGGCTCCTGGAATTCTGTGATCTTGTGAGACTCTCAGCTTTCATTTCAAAGTAATAATAGGATCCTAGCCTTCATGGTTCTGAAGAAATACTTGAAAACATTACCCAAGGGAACCCCAAAGGCTCCAAAAACCAGGATGTGAATAAAAAGAACCCCACTTATTATTTTTTTAAAAATAATTATTTTAAGCCACTCTCTTGATTTTAGGGATCTGAGTCATGATTTTTACATGCTAAGCACTGTCCATGCTACAATTAAAACATGAATATTTATGCAGTATGTCACTAGCCAGAGGATTTTATCTTCATCACCAGGGCTTGAAGTGCTCACAACTCTGGAGGTGGGGTAAAGGTTTAAGCCTCCTAGGTTATAGGGCAGCTTGAAATTCTGAGGGATAAAAGTGAGAGCCAAGGGCTGCATTTACATTAGTAAATTTCATAGCTGGAATTCATCGCCAGTGGTAGCAACAGTAGAAGCTGTTGAGGATGCAGGTATTTTTACCATCATATCATCCAGCTGTATTAGGTAATAAAATTGCTTGACCCTTGTGCATACTCTAATTTCCAGCAGTTGCACTGTCCCAGTGCTGAAGGATGGACTATGAAGTGTGTCAGTTATAAAGTGGAGTTAACATTCCACTGTGATGAACACTACTGCTCTTGGGGTAAATTCTGCCTCCTCTTTCAATGGCAGTGGAAGGCTCTCTTGTAGTGGCCCAGAACCAGCATAGTCTTCGCAGGGGACAGAACAGGATTTGGAGAGCCCATGCAGGATAGGAATATCCCTGCACACTATGAGGCCTAGTTTCAAGTGGGGCTGCCTCTGGACCCCACTGTACCAGGAATTTGGGAGCAGGGTGATCTACTTACCAAAAACTAATAACCGTGTGCTGCTCAGGCTTTTAAGTTGATTGGCTGATATCCTCAAAGGTTCTGAACCCACATTTGTATTCTGAAGGAAATGTGACTCAGTATCAGTTTTATTAATGGGATTAAATCTATTAACTAAACAAAAATAAATTGAGAATACATCTAAGCTACTATCGGTACTTTTAAACTAAACTAAAAATGGTGCATTACAACAGTCAAATCGAAATCAAATCCACACAGTCTCAATTTTGGATTGGAATTAAATAGTCAAATGAATGCTAAAAATAATCAATCCTTATCAATTCTAGAGAAGATTCTAAGAAGGTGATTCTCTATTTTGTTTTTAATTCCAACTAAAGAATTGTATCTAAACCAATCAAATTGAGGATTTAAAGCTCATCAAGAGCTTAATATGGAAGCCAATTACAAAGCTGCCTTCTTAGAATTCCTTTCTTATGTGGTGGCTAACAAGATCTGCTTCTTTTATAATACAGACTTTAACACAACGCTTTTGTACACATCCCAATGGGTAATGGTATGATCCACTATTTAGAGCTGTTTAAACCCGAGGAACTTTTCTTTCTGGTGCCTTCATTGTGTGAACTTTTTGAGGGTGCTCAGACACACATGAATGGTCATAACCACACTTTCCCACACTAAAATTAAAAAAATATTAAGCAGCTGGGATGGCTTCCAGCTAATAAAAGTACAAAAAGGAAAAATAAGATAACAGGGGCTCATGAATTCTCAATTCTTGCAGTCTTCTGGACTCTTGTAGAGTAAGAGCTGGACCTGCAGGCAAACAGCCAGATGGTGATGTTTTGCTGGTGCAGCGCTACACATTAAAGGGCCTTATTTGGGTGCTGATCAAAGGCTGTTTGTTGATGTCATGATTTCATGTTCCCAAGATGGCCAGTCTTGGAGATTCTGGAAGGTCAGCCTTGCCTCAAGTAGCATGTTGACCCAAAAGGCAAAGCTTCTTAGCCTTATCCTTGATCCTTATAGTTTGAAAATTTTGCTTGCTCAGTCTTGCAAGGCCTCCCTCCAAGTTCTTTGGACAAATCAAGTTCTGGGCCAACCTTGGAGTCATGCAATTTGCTCCAACAAGGTTCCAATTGGGTAATTTCTTAGCAAGTGTCAACCTGGAAAAGTCCCACTTAAATCAGGTTTCAGAATAGCAGCCATGTTAGTCTGTATCCGCAGGTTAAAGTGTTCTCCCACTGGTTTGAGTATTATGATTCCTGATGTCAGATTTGTGTCCATTAATTCTTTTGCGTAGAGACTGTCCGGTTTGGCCAATGTACATGGCAGAGGGGCATTGCTGGCACATGATGGCATATATCACATTGGTAGATGTGCAGGTGAACGAGCCCCTGATGGTATGGCTGATGTGATTAGGTCCTATGATGATGTCACTGGAATAGATATGTGGACAGAATTGGCATCGGGGTTTGTTACAAGGATAGGTTCCTGGGTTAGTGGTTTTGTTCAGTGATGTGTGGTTGCTGGTGAGTATTTTCTTTAGGTTGGGGGGTTGTCTGTAAGCGAGGACAGGTCTGTCTCAAGATCTGTGAGAGTAAAGGATCATCTTTCAGGATAGGTTGTAGATCTTAACCTGTCTGGCCATTCAATGACAGACCTGCAGGTGGCTATCTTACAACAGAAAAACTTCAAAAACAGACTCCAACGAGAGACTGCTGAGCTGGAATTGATATGCAAACTAGATACAATCAACTCAGGATTGAATAAGAACTGGGAATGCCTGAGCCATTACAAACATTGAATCTATCTCCCCTTGTAAGTATTCTCACACTTCTTATCAAACTGTCTGTACTGGGCTAGCTTGATTATCACTTCAAAAAAATTTTTTTCTCTTAATTGGCCTCTCAGAGTTGGTAAGACAACTCCCACCTGTTGATGCTCTCTCTCTGTATGTGTGTATATATATCTCCTCAATATATGTTCCACTCTATATGCATCCGAAGAAGTGGGCAGTAGCCCACGAAAGCTTATGCTCTAATAAATGTTAGTCTCTAAGGTGCCACAAGTACTCCTGTTCTTTTTCCACTTAAATCAGTAATTGAAAAAAAATGTGGTGTTTTGCATACCACAGAGACTGACATCTGTGATCCCTTAAAATTAGCAAAAATCTGGATTCATGAGACCACTTTGGGGAAGCTGGTCTGGTTGTAACCAGGTGAAAAGGTCTTGAGATGACATTGTGTCACCAGTTTACAGGAAAGTTCAAAATTAAAAAGTCATATAAAAATAACTGATTGAAAAAAGAACCCTAGCAACAACCAATCATAGAATATTAGGGTTAGAAGGGACTCCAGGAGGTTATCTAGTCCAACCCCCAATTAAATCCCTAAATGGCCCCCTCAAGGATTGAACTCACAATGCTCAAACCACTGAGCTATCCCTCCCAATCACTCAACATTCACCCAGCAACAAAGTTAAAGATAAATTCTTCAAACTATGTCCAGTTTCATCACCTCCAGTTCCTTTAGAACTGATGAATGTACAGTAATTTTTTCTATTTTAGCACTGGGCTATAAGTCAAGCAGTTTATCTTTTGGCATCTTCATCTTGGTAGAGGGAAGTTACTTTAAAGCCTGTCAAGACAAAAGCCATTTAAAACAAACTGAATTTGTATAGGATCTGTACTCTCAAGCTATTCCTTTCACACCTTCACGTAGTGGGAGCACAGGTGCTGCTCCTAAGGCTGGAGTGTCAGACACCAACTGGCTCCACTGAATGACCTGGAGGTTTCAGTAAGTCCCCAGCACAGAGCAAGCTGCTCAGGCTGTATACTGGTGATAGGATTTGGGCCTTTGGCAGTTCACAGTTATTCAGTGTGACTGCGGACTCTAGAAAACAATACTGCAATTGATTACATGAGGCCCATTCAAAAGGGATCTTCCCAACCATAAGGGCTAAAAAAGCTGAGATTCTCCAAATCCTAATGGGTAAGGGCCAGTCACTAGGGCAAGTTTTTGATTCGCCATTCGTCAAACCCCGATTCAGCTTTCATTAATCTTTCTCACCACATGTTTTGCTTTGTACAGATGTTTGCACTGAAGAGACATTTGCTCCCTCTCAGATTTGTCCAGCAGGGAGGTCACAAAAACGCAGTGTGTGATGTCATAATAATTTCCATGACAACAGATTGTGACCCCAGAAACCCACAGTAATGACTGTTGCAGAATTCATCGGCAGGAAGAGATAGCGTGAGAGGGATGAAAAGCTCCCCTTTGCTTTGAATGCAAATATATCTATAGAGATCTGAGACAGATACTGGCTGAGGGACTGGATTTGTGTTTAATTATTCAAGCTTACCCAGCTGAAAGTCTCTCTTTAAATTCTGTTTAGGACTCTAGTTAACTATTGTGCAGTGATTAAGATGCTAAGGGAAGTTGCTGGTATCTCCCCAGTGTATTGCGCTCTCCTGAGAGGTGGGCTGTAGGAATCTCCTCTGATTCCTACCTTTTGTATAGCCTCAGGAGTGGAGGGCTTGTGCTCTCTGGGATGAGGGAGAGGTGGAGCCCTAGATGGGTGGCTCACTGGTCTCAGAAGGCAGAGTGCCTGCTGGCCTGTTCCTGGAGCACTTCAGGGAGACATTCACAGTGGGTGTGGAGTAGATAGCATGCATGATGATGCCCTTCTTAGAAGGGGAGGGCGAGGGGGAATGCTGCACTGATCCACAAGGACAGTAACCTGGGTTTGGTGGACAGTAACCTGGGTTTGGAGGGCTGCAGCAGCCATCAAAGAAACATTTTAAAAGAGAAGTACCAAATATGATCAACAATAGGCTATGTATTCATGGGCTAGTGTCTGCCATTCTCTTGCCCCCCACAAGGATTCCACTGCACAGCAGCACTCCTATCTGCAGGGAGGCTGTGGACTGAGGTCACCTAACCCAGTGGCTCTCAACCTTTCTAGACTACTGCACCCTTTCAGGAGTCTGATTTGTCTTGCATACCCCCAACTTACACCTCACTTAAAAATTACTTGCTTACAAAACCAGGCATCAAAATACAAAAAAGTGTCACAGCACAGTTACTGAAAAAAGGCTTTTTCATTTTTACCATATAATTATAAAACAAAACAATTGGAATATAAATACTGTACTTACATTTCAATGTTCAGTACATAGAGTAGTATAAACAAGTCATTGTCTGTATGAAATTTTTGTATGTACTGACTTTGCTAGTGCTTTTTATTTAGCCTGCTTTAAAATTAGACAAATATTTAGATGAGTTGATGTACCCCCTGGAAGACCTTTGCATACCCCCAGGGTACCCCTGGGTGAGAACCACTGACCTATTTCCTGCAGTCTTTCCATCGATTACAGAGAATAATCTATGTGCCTCTGGTACCCCTAATCTCAACTGATCTCCAACATAACAACTGGAAAAGTGCAGGAGAAAAATTAGGTCTCATTAGGCCCATCTCCCAGACATCCATTTAGCTTCAGCTAGTATAAATAACTACATACGTTACAGCATAATGCCTGTGTTTGTCATACCAACAGGAAAAGCTGATCTCCACCAGAACTCAGTTGGAGGCCACCGTGCAGGAACTAAAGACTCTGAAGAATGCCCAGCAAGAGAAGATCTCTTGTCACAAAGTGAGTAGCATTCATTCAAAAAGACCTGATTTTAATGCACTTTAGGTGGCATTCTTGATGAGATCAGCACTCAGGGGTTTCTTATTGGAACAAAGAGTCTAGAGTGAGTAGACAGTTTACTACTAAGAACAAAATGATGTGCGGTCAATATGTGGAGGTATATATTAAGCATCTTAATGCACATTGAAACGTGCCTGCATTTAAAAAATCCTTTGCTGCATGGGCATTCAAAAAAAGCACTTGGAGAGAACTTCATTGGCTTTGTCCTCTAAGTCCCTCATCAGCTGATTTTCCAGAATCCAATATGCATGTTCAACTGTTTTGGGCATCCTAGAAATGTAAGGCTGGAAGGGACCTCAAGTGGTCATTTCATCCATTCATTGCACAGAAATCCCAAAGGTCTGGATAAGTCTGATTAACATCTGAATGTTGGGGCCTTACCTGAACCAAACCTGTGTGTGTTTGAGGTTTCCCCATCACTGCTGAAGGCCTCACACCTGACAATGCACCCAAGACATCCTCTATTACCTACAAAAACTGCACACCATGTTAATTTCTTAGCAATGGGAGTAGAGTTTGGATCATTAGCTTCCTGAATGTGCAGAGTAAAGAAACTGCTCCATCAGGTCTAACCAGGAGACAGTTATAAATATCTACCATTCTTACCAGATCTGCTTATTTCTAGGGCCCTGCAAAGTGTATGTTATCGGTTCTAGAGCTGGGTGAGAAATGTTTTTCTTGTCCCACACATTTTCAGGACTTCAGAAATTGTTCCCATTCCAGAGCAGGATGAAACCAAGACTTCTCACAGTGTAATATTGGGGGTCAGGGCATTGCCTGAGATGTGGGAGACCTAGGTTCTTGTCCCTGCTGTAAATCAGGCAGAGCAGGGGATTGAATCCAGGTCTTTCATATCCCAGCAAGTGTCCTAATCACCAGGCTGTTGGCTAGCCTGAGGTACAGGTTCTCTCTCTCTCTCACTTTGCCCAGAAATTCCCTTCTGGGCCTCAGAAACCTTCCCAACAAATTTTTCACCAAAACTGACCCTTTTCCATTGAACATTTCAGTTTTGATGAACATGCATTTTCTGGCAAAAACCATTTCATCAAAAAATTCCCGTCCAGCTCTAATGGGTTCAAAAAGGTTTGTGGAATATTTCTTTGGTTATGATTTGCAGTTCAAACTAACTCAAAGTGAACTCAGTCAGATTCACTGAGTTTCACCAGGTCTTTCCGGAAAACCACAGTTGCTCCTGAAACAACCTTACATTTATTGAAATATTAATGAGTTTCAAGACAGCAGCACAATCAGGAAGCACCTGTTGACAGACTTTCATAACATGAGGTTTGCTCAGCTCTGCCTCTTTTGCATCCTCTTTTGCTTCTTGAGGATGATGCTTTGACCACTAATAACATTTGTGTTTTGCTTTAACAAGGTAGCTAAATATAATGCTTCACAGCATGAATGGATCACTGTAGGAGTCAGGAAGGAATTTGCAGCATTTCACAATTGGTCAGGGGCATTTTTCCTTCTTCCTATGAAATATCAGTTCTTCTTTGAGTGATTGCACATATCCATTCCACTTCAGGAGTGTGCGTGCCCAGTACACAGTTGTCAGAGATCTTTCTCTCAGCGGTACCCATAGGGGGCAGTGGATGCACCCTCTGCTTCCTCGCGCAGCTGTGCGATGGCATAAACGGTAGAACTATCCTTGACCCCTCTTAGTTTCTTCTTACCGCCCATGATGGTTGTTAGAATCTGTGGTCTTGCCTTCTCAAGTTCCCCCTTTTGTATATAGTTGGTGCCTGTTTACCATGGGTTTAGTGTTAGTAGTTTGAGTGTTAAGTTTTCTTTCAGAGTATTTTTACATTTCAGTTCCCCCTTTTTTGAGTTCTGCTACTGGTACCTGGACATGCCTCAGTCACTTGGCTTCAAGCCCTGGTTTTCTTGTAATAAACCTATGCCCATGAATGATCCACACTCCAGTTGTCTAAAGTATCTGGGTGACTCTCAGGTACGAGATCGGTGTTGGATTTGTAGCGACTTTAAACTGAGAAACACAAAAGACAGGAAGGCCAGGCTGAGGATTTTGCTGATGGAGGCAGCTCTGCGACCTTTGGAGGCATCCTACTCAAAGCTTGTGCCAAGCACTTCAGCTTCTGTGAGGAGCACTCTCCCTGTGCTGGACAAATCCTGGAACTGTTCACCCTCCCCAGGACCAAGGAAGAAACATAGGGCCTGTAAGGAACTGACTGGGAGAGGGCGTCCTCTGGGTCCCAAGTCCAGCAGACATGTGGACAGAGGTGCGAGTAGTGTGCACTCCGAATTGAAGCACTCCTCGAGGCAGTCACTGGATCACAGGGTGGTTGACTCCAGCGCTGGCGCAGGTCCCATTGAGTTTGGCCCCAGAAGCGGTTCCTTTGTCCTTGGTAGTGCCCTCATCAGTCTGAGGCTATCCCAGGGCTGTTCATGCCAGAGGCTTATGTGACAGCTGTGTGGGTGTGTTTGTGTGTTCTCTCAGTGTGCTTAGAGACATAGAATATCAGGGTTGGAAGAGACCTCAGGAGGTCATCTAGTCCAACCCCCTGCTCAAAGCAGGACCAATCCCCAGAGATTTTTGCCCCTGATGTCCAGCTCTGTGCAGACAGCTGGTGCAGCAGACCTCGATAGTACTATCCAGAGTTGTTAAGTGCTGGAGGATGGACTGTCGTTGCTTTGGTAATGCTGTTTAGGCTGCTCAGGCTTCTGACCTTGGAGCTCCAATGTTATTAGTAGATAGCTCAGCATGTTAATGTAGCACATCTCGATGTTATTCATAAAGGAGGACCACAGGCTCAGTTCGGTGGTGAAGGCTCTCAGTCAGGTTTGTTGTCAACGATACGGACTGCTGCATTAGACCTGAAAGCTCATCCAAACATGACAGTGTGAAATTGCCTCAGGCTTTTAAAGGCGTATGGCCTCATGGACATATATAGTCCCAGCACATCAGAGTGTGTCTCAGGAAACTGCAAGGATGGCTGGCTTTGGTATACTCACAGACCTGTCACCCCCTAGACATGTTGGTGCAAGTACCCTCTCAGATCTTAGCCTCTCTGGACTGGTGGACAATCCCTGCCAATGTGTGTAGGGGGTTCCCTTTGCTCCTCTTTAGCCAACGTTAACCTTAGTAACAGACACTTCTGCTCTTGAATGGGTAACCCTCCTGGGTTCCCCGCACAAACAAGGTGTATGGTCCACTCAGGAGTTAGCTCTGAGTATAAATGTCAGTGAATTGAGAGCCATTTGGCTGGCATGTCAAACCTTTCTTCCCCATATCAAGGAAAGAAATCTGCTTGTTCTTACAGGCAATACAGTGGCCATCTTCTATCTCAATAGGCCAGGTAGTCTTTATGCTGCTAAGAGGCAGCAAGCAGTGGGACTTTTGCATTGCCAATTCAATTGACCTCCAAGCCTCTGATCTTCTGGCTGTGCAGAACAGCTGTCAGACCAACTAAGCAGCTCATTTACGAGTCACCATGAATGGTCTCTCTATCTGGATGTCACCTAGGGCATTTTCCTGCTGTGGGAGAATCCCCAGGTAGACCTATTTACAATGAAAGCCAACAGGAAATACCAGCAGTTTTGTTCTCGACAAGATCACAGTCTGGGGTCCCTCACAGATGCTTTCCTGTCACCCTGGGCAAACAAGCTCCTGTAGCCTTTCCTCTAATCCCACTCCTACCCAGAGTGTTGTTGAAGATCGGGCAGACCATACCTGAGTTATTCTTATAGCCCCATTGTGGCCTCAGCAACACTGGTTCTCCATTCGCTTGTCCCTGTTGGGCATAGCTCCACCCCCTCCATCATTGGACCCAGACCCAAGGGCGGCTCTATGTATTTTGCCACCCCAAGCACGGCAGTCAGGCAGCCTTCGGCGGCACGCCTGCAGGAGGTCCACTGGTAATGCGGATTTGGCGGCACGCCTGCAGAAGGTCCACTGGTAATGCGGATTTGGCGGCACGCCTGCGGGAGGTCCGCCAGGCCTGCGCCTTCAGTGTACCCACCGCCAAATTGCTGCCGTAACCGCCCCCTGTGCTTGGTGTGCTGGTGCCTGGAGCCGCCCCTGCCCAGACCTAATTTCTCGAGAACATGGTTTCCTGCTCCACACCAACCTGCAGGTTCTCCACCTGACAGTCTGGAAGTTTCATGGCTAGACCCTCAAGAAGAGGAGACGTGTTCAGGATGTGCTTTTAAATAGTAGAAAACTATCTGCTAGATACACTAACATGGCAAAATGGAAGCCAGTCTCCATTTAATCCTGATGAAAAGGGGTTTCACTGGTCTGATCTTCAATACAGCATATTCCAGACTATCTGTTATTCCTAAAACAGGGTGCTGACTGTTGGTTCTAACAAAGTCCATCTGGCAGCTATTTTGGCTTTCTACCCTCCCATTGATAATTGTTCTGTAGTTTCCAATTCTATGTCAATAAGGTTTTCGAAGTGGCTGGAACAGGTGTAGCCACAGGTACAGGTACCCTGTTCCTCTTTGGGACTTAAACCTGGTAGTGTCAAAACTACTGAATTCTCCCTTTGACCCTTTTGCTACCAGATCCTAACTACATCTCTTGATGAAGGTAGCCTTTTTGGTGGCTATTACATCAACCAAAAGGGTAGGAAAGCTACATGTTCTAATATCTAGCACTCAATACACTATTTTATTTAAAGACAAAGTTTATCCACGTCCATATCCAAAGTTTGTTTCAAAAGCAGTGTCTAACTTCCATATCAATCAGGCAATATGTCTTCTTTCTTCCCAAAACACATGCACATAAAGACGGGAGAGACTTCACACTTTGGGTGTCAGGAGAGTGTTAGCATTCTACCCGGACTGGACCAAGCAGTTTAGATCATCCTAACAGCTGTTTGTGGCGATGGCAGATGGATGTAAGTGCTCCCAGTCTGATATCGGAGGATATCATCTTGGACATCCTCATGTATTCGCTTGTCACATGGCTTGGCTAATATATCTCCACAAAGCAGGGTAACACCACATTCAACAAGATTTCAGGTGACCTCCACGGCTTTTCTGGCTCAAGTGCTAGACATTTGTAAAGTGGCAACCTGGTCTTCAGTACACACCTTTGCCTCCCATTATACCATCTCACAGCAATCTAGAAATGAGGCAAGGTTTGGATGGATAGTTCTTCAGTTACTATTCAGGTAGATTCCAATCCCACCTCCAGATTGAACTGCTTTTGAGTCTTCTAACGTCAAATGGACATGTGCAATCACTCAAAGAAGAAAAAATGGTTACTAATCTGTCCCATAACTGCTGTTCTTTGAGATATGTTGCATATGTCCATTCCGTGACCCACCCTCCTACCTCTCTATATCAGAGTCTATCTGGTAAGAAGGAACTGAGAGAGGTTGGAGGTCATAAGTACCGACTCCATGGGTGCTCTGGGGCTCAAGCACCCAATGAAAAAAATAGGGAGTGCTCAGTACCCATGACCCAACAGTAGGTGACAAGAGCATGTACATGGCAAACAGTGAAACCAGAAGGCAGAGAGCACCCACTGGCAAAAACAAAAGTCAGTGACTGTATTGGGGGTGGCTCTGCATTTATGCCATTGCATGGCAGCATGAGGCAGCAGATAATGTATGCGCTGCCCCAACGGGTACCTCTAAGGGAAAAATCTTTGACAATAGTGCACTGGGCGTGCACACACTTAAAGTGGAATGGACATGTGCAACACATCTCGAAGAACAAAAGTTACAGAACATGTTAGTAACCGTTTTGTATTTGTCCTGGCAAGAGTTCAATAGCAGACTTGACAGACCAAGGGTCTGTCCTTGTAAAGCAGATTCTACAATCCTCTGAGAAGGTATAAATGGTTCACAGGATACACTGGCAATTATAAAATATGAAACAAGTGATTTGTAACTTGTGCTTTATGAGCTGGTAGCAATTAGTTATCTTAGTAAATATTTTTATCTGACGCTGCTGAGTACAAGATATTTCCCGTTTAACAAACTGTGTGTGTTTTCCAGGAGAACAAATTTCATCTTCAGCACCACATCTCCTTAGAGTTTCTGAAACTCCACCAGTTCCTTCATGGAAGGGAGAAAAGATTAATGAATGAGCTGCAAGAGGAGGGGAAAATCCTCCTCCAAGAAATGGAGGCCAATCTAAACAAGCTCCAGGAAAAGTGGCAGCGAGCCAAGGAGACAGTGTTACGCATTCAGTCCCGGCTCTACCAGCACAGTTCTATCGACTTCCTTACAGTGAGAAATCTGGACTTAAATATTAACACAGAGTGAAGTGTAGACTGACAGAGTCATAATTTGGGGGAACATGAAGTTCTATCTGCAGAGCACATGGGAGGGAGAACTGGAGAAGGGTGATCCAAGTCACCATCATTGGTTTTTACCTCTTGATATTTCTAACCCCAGCTGATTCCTAATGAGACGCTTTAAAATATTTATTTAGAAACATTTGTCAGCTAATGCCTGGATTTTATTATGAAGGAAATGTGCATGAAAATAGGCTAATTGTTTTTGTTAAGAATTCTGCTCTCCTGCTTATTCCTCACCTGAAAGCCTGATCCTCTGTGATAATCCTGATACCAAGACCTGCATTGGGACAGCCAATGGATTGTGATTTTGGTTGGGGAATAAGTAATAGGAGCAGATGAAACCTCAGGAAGAAAGGATTCTGATTGACTTGTCCTGTGTACTAAAAGCTGAGAAATTCAAAGGAGCTAAAGTGTGCCCAACTCCTATGGACTTTCCTTGGTATTTGGGTGCCAAACTCCCTTCGGCCCCTTTAACAATCCCAGCCAAAGAGCACAGGAAAGGAAATAGAAAAAGTAGGATATATTTATGGAGCTGTTTCTAAGCAGCACATTTCCCATAATTCCCTCTAAGGGATTGGTTGCATCTCCAGTATCAAAACCAGAACAAGCTGTCAAATACCAAATATCCTGAGAAGCATGTTTGCTGAAATCACCCCTCAGACCTTGGCCAGGAGGGAGAAATGGAACATGCTCTGGAGGAAGGCTAGAGACAGTTTCAAGGAGAGGCTATGGCAGGGCAGGGTCAACTTCTCCTTTGAGAGTTCAAAAAAACTGTAAATTTCCTTTCCACTACAACATATAGCTGCCTGCTGGGGTCTAAATACCATTAACATGTGCCCTACAGAATTAGACAGTTAATAAATGGCTCTTCTTACCTTTCTCTTTTTTTCCTTTGACAGGGCATAAAAACCTTCATGGAACAGTAAGTACAAGTTTATAGTATTCTTCAGTCTCTGTTAGAGCTGGGCAAATAGTTCATAACAAATCATTTAGTTGACAATTTTTGCTTCTTTCTGTTTGCAAAACCATTTATGAACAAATTGTGAAATTCTCAAATTTAGCAGTTCATAATTATTCACAAATTTCTTCAACAAATGATTGCTGGTCTGCAGATTGTTTGCAAACAGCACCACGTGAATATTCAGAAAGTGGAATTTGTGTGGGGTTGGTGCCATACATAAGTCACGTGGTATTGTTCTCATTCCCAGATTGGATGATTTATGCTATTAATCAATAAAAGAGTGTAAATTCTGAATTGCATGATTGGGTGTGAAATTCCACTTTCTGTTGCTGTTGATTAGTTTCACCAGCTGACATTCAGTTTTGGTGAATATTCAGGTTTCAGATTTGCTTATCCTGAGTATTTGTGCTTGTCACAATGTCTGGTATGGGTCACAGCTGAGAAGGTCAGTCTCAGGTCAGACTGTCAAAGAACTGGGCAGACACTCCCTCACTGCAGTATAACCTATAATTAGATTTAACCAAATCAGCAACAAATGTGTGCTTCTGGATCACTATACTAGCTTACTATGGAGCCACAGACAGTCCCCCTAGACACTCCAGCCTATACCACCATCCAGACGAACTGGATGTCTGATTAAAGCTTATTAAAACCCCAAATCACCTTAAAGAGACTTATGCTCCAATACTTCTGTTAGTCTATAAGGTGCCACAGGACTCTTTGTCACTTTTTACAGATCCAGACTAACATGGCTACCCCTCAGATACTTAAAGAGACCGTCACTTACTCCCAGGTCAATGGATGCTCAAAAGCTCACTCCAAAGACAATGCTGTCAGTCAATTTCTTGGTAAACTAACTAAAGATTTATTAGATAAGAAAAAGAAATGAGAGTTATTTAGAAGTTAAAGCAGGTAAAATGTGTTACAGGTGAATTAGAATTTGTAAGTCCAAAATGATAGCAGGGATGTTCAATCTGCTAGTTTTCTATACGTCTCTCTGGGTTTCCCAAATAGTTTTTGGGGACCTCCATCCTTTTGTTCAAAATTTCTTTTGTCAGAATTTACCAGTCCAGAGATAGGGTAGGAAAGAGGTAGCCAGGGGGGCTTCTTCTTCCTTTTTATATGTTGACCCTTTTTGAGGGAAAAATCTTTGGTGTGTCATGGAGTCAGGCAGTTCAATCGTGTCTGTGCTTTGCCATCAGTCCTTCATATGAATTGCAAATTTTTGCTTGCACCTTCTGTGCATGTGCCCATTTGAGGTGTCTTCAGGAATGACATGCAGAAGCTCTTGTTTACAGTTCCTTTGTTATTCCTGAAGAGCTAACCTGTGGGCATTTCTCAGACTCACAACATGTTTGAATTACAAACATACAGCAACATTTCATAACTCCACACACAATGTCGATAGACACAGTACAATAAGATAATAATACTCAGCAGATTATAACTTTTCCAATTATACCTCACAAGGCATACTTTGTACAAGATTTATCACAATTTTGTAAAAGTGGTGACCATATTAGATTAGACACAGTGGTCTAATTAATCACAGTGCCAGTACAGCTTGTTTGCTAGAATGTTCACAGAAAGGAGAAACAAAAGGGCTTGAATCCAGTCAAAGAGACTTTCTTTAACATTTTACCAAAGACGCTACAATGTTTTTTGCAGCATTAGTGCATCTGTAGCCTCTGTATTTACCAGACACTGTAAACACAATCTAACAGGCAGTGTGCTTTGTGTCCTGCACAGCTTAGAGCAAAAAGCAGGCACCTTATCTCTGGGTGCACTTGTCTGTCGTGAACTGAGCCTGGGACAGTTCAAGGGTCCAATTCAGTACAACGCATGGAAGGAAATGAAATCCATCCTCGGACCAGGTAATGAGATATTGCTTCATTATTTGCTACAGCCCATTTGACCCATTCTTGCCTTTTTTCAGTCCTGGTTTTATTTTTCCTTTTGTGTTGCTGTTCCACCCTGATTTTCAAAATGCTGAGCTATTACATGCAGATTCCCCCCTAGTTTCTAGTCTGTTTCAATCTTTAGTTCACATGCAATAACAACATGCTGATATGCCTGGAGTCCCAAAACTAGAGGGAAAGGTTTAAATCTAAACAAAAAAATAATTTAAATTTAATTTTTGAAAATTATTAAAATATTTCTAGTAGTGTTAGATTTTGTAAAACTCAGAGGGGTGCTGGGAAGATAAATTCATTCATGTGTATGATCAGATATTATGATGAGAGCACCACAGAAATGCCCAGCAGGGAATTAATAGTTTTGGGATTTGGATGGTGTGCAATAAATAAGGCCTGGAGTCACACCCTGAATGAGGAGAATGAAAAACAAAAATGGAATAACTAGTAATTCACTTTATGAAGTCCTGTGGAAGAAATAGCACATGATCATGTAATTAAAGACAGTATTATGATGCATACACACAAGGGAGCCAAATTAAGGTTGAACAGAAATCTTAATTCTGATATTTCCTAACATTTGAGTGGTTGGTTTTACAACCTTAATGGTTTTTTTAACATATATAAAAGAGGGCATATATAATAATATCTTCTGTACAAAAAAAGCACCATAAAGAAATGTTAAGGTTGCAAAGTCATAGTAAATTCAGGAAATGGACAAACCTTAACTCTGCCCTCTTTTGTCTACACTTTATGATTTAGCATTTTATTACATGGCCGTATCCTGTGTCTCAAGTAATGCAATATAATATCATACAAGTTTGTTATGAAATTATAATTGTACATTTGTGACATCCTGTTGTCACATGTGCCACAGCACATGTGAGACACAATTACACTATTTCTCAGATGATACAATATACCCCCCCACACTTTTCTACACTTTAGTTACATATGTGTAGCATATTGTAATATTTGTTAATGTATCTATGCTACTAGGAGTAACTCTATTTTACAGCTTTAACAGATGATCTGGCATATGTTTTCTGAGAGGCTCTGTAGATGGGACATGGCTCTTCCTGGATTCTAGTCCCAGCTGTGCTATAAATTTTT